GAGTTTGATCCGGTACCCCAACAAGAAAAGAAGGAAAGGCGGGGAGGAAGGAAAAGAAAAGAAAGAAAGAGGTGTTATGTGTATGTACCAACTCTCCTTGATGAATGTAGTCACTATGTACTGAAACGTGTACTAATAAAAATAGTTTTTAAAAACCACACAAAAGCACGACACTAGTCATTCTTAATAGACACCGGCAACTTCGTGATTGTCTTTAGAGTAGGGGTCCTGTGCTGAAAAATTATTTAGCTTATATATAAAGCTAACACCCTACCCCACCGCGTACTAGAGACCTTGCACTTGTGAAGCAGGTACAGTGCCACTGAGCAAAATCTCCAGCCCAGTTTAGCTTTTATATATGTATTCTTTTTGAAACTTACTTTCTCCACATTCAGTAGAGACATTTTTACTGTCTAGTTAGTGTAGAAACTTAAAATATACCTAAGGGTTATTTTAACCATAATAATAATTTGGGTGTCATGATGCCAGGTACTTTCCTGAGCATCTTACTAGCAATAAACCCTACCCAAAATACTTGGGAGTGTAACTGTTGTTGACCTCATGGAATTGATGAAGAAACTGAGGCTTAGAAAGTTTGAGTTCCAATATGTGTTCCCTAGCTCTTGCTGTTCTATAGAATGCTCTCTCAGAACTGGCGTATAATATGGGTCCCCCCTTTACTATTACATATTCATTTTATAAAATACTGGGTTTTCTTACATATGTTCATACTTACACCCCCAGTACCCTTTTAAACACTCTTGCTCCCCTTATAATTAATTGTTTTGTTAATGTTTTAAGAATTGAAATGAGTCAGGTGTGGTGGCCCATGCCTATAATCCCAGCATTCAGGAGGCTGAGACAGGAAGATCTCTGTGAGTTTGAGGCCAGCCTGTGCTACATAGCAAGACTCTGTCTTAAAAAAAACATTAACAAAAAATGAGAATGGGGGTAGGGTCTTTGCATGTGTGTGTATCTGTGTATGTGTGTGTGTACGCTGATTTAAACTTCTGACTCCTACCTTTGCCACTTTTGTAAACTTGAGATTATTTCTCTTCAGCCATCTCTTCAAGCTCTCTCAAAATTTTATCTGTTTTGTTACTCTAAACTTAGCTGTGATTCCCCAAGAATAACTTAGTCTTTGTAAATTGGTTTACATGTGTATGTAGATTAGATCTTGGAGTTCTCCCACATCTGCCTTTTTTGTATATGCTATTTTTCTTGACTTCAGTGCCTTTCTTCAATTTCATTGTTCAAACTTACCTATAAAACCTGGCTATATAAAGACTTTTAGCCAAAATTGGCTTCTATGTATGCTATTTAATCATAGGCCGATTTTGACATTTCTTCTGTGACTTGACTTATCCATTATTTTAATTGTGGATTATCTTTTTCATATTTCTTAGATAGAGTAAACTATGGACATATAAATAATGGATTCTTAGAACAGAAGGAATATTAAGATTGAAAATTTATTCCAGGCCATAAATGTTACATATAATGCAATGTGTATGTTATATAATCTGAAAGTGACTATTTAAATATTTGTATTTAAAGTCAAAAATCTTTTTTATGAGTTGGATAGTTACTAAACATACAGATTGAATTTTACATGCTTTTTGAAATGTGATCTTTCTAAAAACCTTTTCCAGTACATCAGGAGATTCTTCTCGGTCAAACCTTTTTGAAGATGCAACAAGTGCCCTTGGTGAGTATGCACTTTATCTTCTGTATAACCTACTGGAGATGGGAAAGAAGTTTGTATTTCACTTTGTTAGAGCACAGTAATGCGTTAGTATTCATGGTTATTTACAATCGAGGCGTAAAAAGATTTTGTTAACCCCTGGTGTTAATGAAAACATTGATATTTTATATGTTTAAATGTGATCTTGAGAAGGTTTAATCTGTTACAGATTTATTATGAAATGTCTTGAGCGTACACAGTTTCTGTCCTCACTCTTCATGTTTATTCATCTCCATGTTCTCAATTGGATGACCCTGCAGATTTCCACCTACATTTTGGTATTTGTATTGGCTTATAGCAAAAATGCCTTCTTATTTCAGATTTTAATTTTACTAGCTGAATAAAACATTTCCTTCTTCCTTCACCCTTAATCTGTCAAAATTATCCTTTTCCTTGCTCATTGTAACTCTCTGGTACAGTTTCTACAGGTTATTAATTTATTGGCCAGTAGTGCTATTCCTGTTCTTTGGGTCAGTGGATAGAAGGCTGGGGAAGGGTGGGCTCAGCTGCTTCAGTGCAGTATGAGCTCCTGCAACAGCTGGGTTTTCTCCAACAGTAGCACTCTGAAAGGCTCTGGAGTAGGTCCTCTCACCCAACTGGACTTGAGTTCTCTGGTGCCCTCATTTTTGTGGAGTATGTTTTACAGTGTCAAAATAACTTACACAATCTAAGACAGCCTAAGTACGTCAAACCCAGGTTTTCATTTTGAAGGAATTAACTGTGGCTTCTCTGCCACCAAATACTGCATCAGTTAGCATCCAGTCAGGAAGACAGAAGTCACTGTACTTGAAACACAAAAAGGCTTATTACCCTTAGAATATTAGTTACAATGTATTGGAAGGGCTAGGAAAGAGGGTTACCTGGAGAATGCCAGCTGTTCTGTAGCTTCAGAGCTGGAGCCAGCTGGCACTTACCTTAATGCTGCTGAAGTCTGGCCAACAAGACTGCTGCTACACCTGAGCCTCTGAAAATGATGTCTTTCTTTTTCATCTTTATGTCTTCTGAGTACCCCTTCTCAACTTTCTGGTACAGAAATTCCTTTGTTCTTTAATCTTTTATTTACCTGATCTCTGTGTTGATTCTATGCCTCTTTCAAGTTTCCTTCTGTGACTTCTGACACCTCTCTTCCTGATCCATAGCCCCAATCATTCTTTTCAGGCTTTCTAGGTAATTCTGTTTTACCTCACCTTACTGGTTCTGCTCTAGGCCAAAGTTCAAAGTTTAAACTTTGGGAATGGCCAATACTGTGCATTTACTATGGATTTGGAAGTCACAGGCTTTCTGGTTGGCAGTTTAAACAATTAAGTCAGCGCTCCCCGACTTAGTTGTTTAAACTGCCAACCAGAAAGACTACAACTTCCGCCAACGTCTTAGATTTCAGATTGACTCAACTTTCTGTTCCCCATCTGATTGTTCTTTGTTTCCTTGCTTGCATCGTCATCCTACCTTGGCCTAGGCAAAGTGTTACCATCCTTAGCCCAGTGAGTCTGATTAATTCTCTTTCCTAAAGTCTCTGGAGTATTTTCAGTTACTTTAGTTCAGGTGCTTACCTCACTTTTGCATTATCCTCTTCCATCTGGTCTCTTCCTGCCAGAGTGGACTTGTAAAAGGCAAATCTGATGAGGTCATTGTTACTTCAAATGAGTCCAGAACTCATTCTTAAGAGGTTCTTCCTCACCACTTCAGTGTTATTAGCTCTGTCTCTTGTCTGTTCTCCCAAGTTTTTCTACAAGTCATTTCTCCTTGTACTTTTAGGGTCTAAAAAGTATCTTACTGCTTAAAGACATTTATTTCTTTTTCTGTTTTTGGAATTTGATTAATTTGGAAACATAATTTTCAGAGGCATGGTGTGGTAATTTGGGTGTGCGTTGTCTGGGCTCTGGTATCCTGTGTGTATCTCTGTTCTGGGACTTACTAGTCCTTGATACCTTGTTCACATTACTAATCTCTAACCTCGTCCTCTAATGTGAAAGATGAAAATAAACCTTCTCCAGGTTATTGTGAAAACGAAATCAGTTGTGCTATCTTAAAATAGTACAGTTCTTGTCTTCTGCAGCTCTCAGTTGTTTGTGTTGATGCCTTTTTCTCTTATCTGGGAACTAGGTGATTGAATGGCTTTGAACTTTACCACAGTGGATAAGTAAGAAAATTTTAAAAATTACAAAGTGATTTATGGAATGGGAAAAGAAAGGTCATGTATTAGCCTTTTTCTGTTGTTTTAATGCAATATCTGAATACTTTTTAAAGAGACTTATTTAGTGTAGTTCTGGAAACCCAAGGGCAGAGCAGTGATAACTGCTTGGCTGTGCTCTGTGAAGGCCTCTTAAAGGAAGATATCACAATGACAGAAGCGTGAGAGGGAGAGGCCATACGGTGAGACAGCTAACTCAGGGTCCCACAAGAATTACCTTAGTCCCTTCTTAGGCATTTTCCCCGGTGACCCAACCATCTCACAATAGACCTCTTTTTGTTTTCCAATAGTTTTTATTCTTTTTGTTTTTTAAAGAGCCTTGACAGCTGATTCAAAAATTGATGTGAGAGCAAATATCCAAGAATAGCCACTACACAGCTGAAGAAAAAGATACAGCTGCCTACGATGATAAGTATAAATCCTGTAACATAGGATCAAATTTAAAAATGTCAGAGACAAATGCACACTTTCAACAGGCAAAATGAAATGATACATGATTAAACTATTAGAACAGTAGGGGGAAATCAGGCAAGCCTCACTTCTTAAAAACCCACCACCTCCTATCACCACACTGGCACCAGGTCTCCAACACTTGAACCCTTGAGAGAACAAATCACATCCATATGTAGGTATTTTAGCTTTTAAATAACTCTGTTTTTGAAAATTCGGTGGGGGAAAAAAACTTATTAAATGATTAATAAATTTATATAAAATGTAATGCCCCACACACAGGTGAACCTGGGTTTAGATGGGGGAAAAGGAAAAATAAATAGCAAATCATGATAAATGATACTGAGAAAACCAGAGACCTTCATAAAGAAAACTGGAGCTACTGAGCAGGTTTAGGCAATAAATCCTGACACTGTAGCTTTTAAATTTAGAAAAACCGGGACCGGGGATTTAGCTCAGCGGTTCAGTGGCCTGCCTTGCAAGCTCAAGGACCCGAGTTCAATCCCCGGTACAAAAAAATAATAATAATAATAATAAATTTAGAAAAACCTGCCCATCTGAAGACAGCTGATGTGGGCAGGGAAAGGTGTGACTTGTTGATTAACCCAGAGATAGGAGAGGTGCATTGGGAGCTTCAAATGCGGTGAAGTTTTCTTCTTAAATAGCTAAAGAATGAGTTGTGGGTGGGGGAAGAGTGGCAGTCCCAACCCACAGATTGCTGTGGGCCAGTCTTGATAGACGGCAGTGGACACAGGAGCTAGATGGGTTTGGTATATAATCTGGACATGGGACCTACCAAATCCACTGCTAGAATGGATGTGGAAGAAAGTGAAAAGGAATTAAAAGTATGGTTTCTGGTTAAGCACTTGGATGATTAGAGGTACTATTTATTGAAAGAGAGAAGAGAGACAACAGGAGGAACATTTGAGGGCAAATCTGTTGAATGAGTGGAGTGTGAGGAAGTGGGCACAGCATTTGTAGACAGCTGTGGCTATGGAGGGAAGAGAGTGGACAAATGGACCAGTTCTGAAAATGGAGACCTTTCCTTTCTCCTTTTTTTTTTTTGGTGTGTTTGTTTTTGTATTTTGAGATGGGCTCTCACTGTGTTTCCCAGGCTGATCTCAAACTCCTGGACTCAAGTGATCTTCTCACCTCATCTATCTCCTGAGTGCTGAGATTATAGGTGTGGACTGACTTGAGCCTGGCTTTCAGTTATGCCTATGAAACATGACTCATTTTCGCTTTACTCTTAAATTATCACCAAAAGCCAGGTGTTGTGATGCCTGTAATCCCAGCACTTGGGGGCCTGAGGCAGGATTGCTGGACTACATAGCAAGACCCTGTCTCAAAAAAAAAAAGAAAAAAAGCTACAGTAAGTTAACACAAACTTATTTGGTATAAAATAACAGGCTCACTATTCTAAGGTGTTATAAATTAGAAGTCTGATGAAAGACTTGCTGGCCGATCAAAAGCTCAGCCTGATTGTGTTCTTTCTGAGACTGGGAGAGAATCCATTTCCTTGACGGTCCCAGCTTCTTGAGGCTTCACACATACCTTGTCTCTTGGTTCCTTTTTCCTTCAAAGGCCACAGCATAACTTCTTTGGTTGTGCTTTTGTCCTCTGATCCTCTCTGACACTCATCTGCCTGCCTGCCTCTTTTTTTGTTTTGTTTTGGTTTTTTTGGTACCAGGAATCAAACTCTGGACCTTGTGCTTGCAGAGTAGGCGGCAGAACCACTGAGCAACATCCCTGGGCCTCCCTTTTCTATTTTTAAGGACTCTTAGGATGACATTGAGCCCACTCAGAAAGTCCAGGATGAGTTTGTATCTGAAAGTCAGCTGATTAACAACTTCACTGTCATGTAGTACAGCTTTACTTCTCCTTTGCCATATAATCTTAACATATTTATAGGTTCTAGGCACGAGGGCATGGGCATCTTTGGGGGACCATTGTTCTGCCTACTACACGCTTGTTGTAATTTAGACTGTTAATTGTCTTGATAACTAACACAGTAATATCTGAAACATAGATATATATATGCAGTAAAGAAATGAATAGAGAATGTGTGTTAAAAGTTCCTATCCTTTTTCTTTCTCTGTTTTTAGTGACAGGTCAGTCTTATGAGAATATGGTAACTGAGATCATGTCTATGGGCTATGAACGAGAGCAAGTAATTGCAGCCCTGAGAGCCAGTTTCAACAACCCTGACAGAGCAGTGGAGTATCTTTTAATGGTGAGAAACCTATTTCACTTTTTTCCTTCTTCTGAAGATCAAAAATCTCAAAACACATAATTTTAAAGGAAGTGTGTGCTAATTTATATGTGCTTTTTTTTTTCTTAGAATGTTACCTTTTCTGTATGACTCTGCTGTTATTTTAGTTAGAAAACATGGCTAAATAAGTTACAAAATTGACTTAATTGAGTAGCGCCTTATACCCGAATTGTATGTTGGTTATGGGACATGTTTTTTAAACTAATGGGCCATATTTTAGTAGTTTTTTAGCTGCACCATGATCTGGGAGCCCAGAGCAAATTTTACTTGTTTGTATGCCTTATACCCGAATTGTATGTTGGTTATGGGACATGTTTTTTAAACTAATGGGCCAATATTTTAGTAGTTTTTTAGCTGCACCATGATCTGGGAGCCCAGAGCAAATTTTACTTGTTTGTACTGTACAAATTTTTGTAATTAATTTCCAACTTCAGAAAACTGGGAGAATTCATGTAAGAATTTTGATTTCTGGGGCTGGGGATTTAGCTCAGTGGTTCTGGCAGCTGCCTCACAAGCGCAAGGACCTGAGTTTGATCCCCAGTACCAAAAAAAAAAAAAAATTTTTTTTTTTTAATTTCTGGTTTATCTGGACAGGTTTGATCCCAGATTTTCCTGAACAGCTGAGGAAAAGATTTAGGTCATAAAAATCTTTAATTTGCTCACCTTTCATTCATTCCTGAACCAATATCATGCTTATGATTTCTTTATTTTTTTGTATTGACAATTGATCCCAAGGCCTTGAGCATGCTAAGCAAGTACCCTACCATTGAGCTGTACATCCAGCCCTTTTTAAATTTTATTTTGAGACAGTCTCAGTAAGTTCCCCGGTCTGGCTTTGGATTTACCTTCCTTCTGCCTCATACTCTGGAGTTATTGAGATTACAGGTGTGTGTCACCATGCCTTACTGTCGTGGTACATCTTAGTGTGATATTCCTTGCCTGACTCTGTTGATCTTTTGATTTGTTAGCTTGTTGTCAGTTAACAGTTAAACTTCTGAATGGTTGGGGGGTGTGGGGTAAAGGTTTTTGATAAATAATGTGGACATTGAAGTTCTTCGCATTTTATCAGCACCAAAGTCTGCAAGTCACACAAATGTGCTTATAGACTAAACTACCACAATATTGGAATGACGCTGGCTTAATCCTTTTTAGTCTTAATTTTTGTTCTGTAATTATCTTTGATATTCTTGGAATATTAATCTAAGTCTGAATTGCTCCAAAGATAATCTTAGCCATGATTCTGATTCTTTGGAAAATACTGTATAGTCCATAGTGTAGCTCATTTCTTTATTTCTTGGTTGCATTTCATTAGAAACTCCTTTTCATTAGCCAAATAGCTTCAAGGTCCCTCAGTCATAGCCAAATCACTGTGCTTTGCCACCATTGATTATTTCCCTGTGCATTGGCATGTGAGTCTTGGCATATACAGTTTATCTGTTTGAATTCACTTTTTCCATTATCCTCTGGAGTATTGTCTTTAAATCTTGGCAGCTGATTTACGTGTCTTTTTGTAATTGAGAAATCATTGCGTTGATGGTTATGGATCAGTTTAGGGTGTACTTTGCAGCTCCAGAGTCTGTAATAATGTATTGGCTTTCCTTTCATGAAATGGCTTTAATTTATACCTGATTAAAATTCTGTGTGGTATCAGATCTTTCTGTTTAATGTATGTGAACTTTAAGGAACAGGAGAATCACTTTTTCCAAAGTTGAATTTTAAAACTACTGCTTAGGGTCAAATGTAATTATATAAACAGATGGGAGATGAGTTCAGGAAACACTTTAAATTGTATCTTTGTTATATTTACTGTTGATTGGCTTGAACAGGGGCTGTGTTAACCTGTTATTAGCTAACATACAAGTGCAGGTAAATGAGTGGGAAGAAGTATTGGTCATTTATACCTAATAAATGGCTGTATACAATGTTTGGGAATTAGAGGTAGATCTGTAGCAGTGTTGTCTGGCTTTTTAATTTAACCAGCCTGTTGGAGAATTTGATGGAAGCCCTGGCCCTTAAATCTGCACTTAGTCAGCACTTAAGGACTTCTCGTCTAAGGACTTGAATTGGTGACCTCTCTAAAACACTTTTTCCCCTTTCCTGCAGTGACTTCTAATAAGTTTAGTTTGTAGTTTATTAGAAAATGGAAGCATTTACTGTTTTTATTCAGTTGTAATACTTGCTTTCTCCTTTCAGTATCTAAATTTGATAAAGACTTTAATAGTTGTAGCTAAAAACTGTAAGTCATGTGTATCAAAATTGGGGGTCCTGAAAGTTTCAGTGTAATTTCAGGCTGTAATAGCTATACATACATTAAACATACCAAAAAATCACCTAAAAGTTATATTATTTAAATTTATATTTTTGTGAATTTGAAAAATTCATTTTAGTTGTTAAGTGACATCTTTTGGGTCATACTTTCTCAGAACCATGGTTATAAAAGGATGACAGAGATCTTCTTTCTTGGCCACTATGATAACCTGATCTATGTCATTCCACTTTTTTCCAGGAATCATTTCAAAATTATCGTCTTCCTTTTTGCTCGTCTTAAGGCTAGATGCAGTCCTTGTATAATGAAGCAATAGCTGATGACAGTTTCCAAGAAATTAAAAAACCAGCTAGAGCAACGTGTAGCTCAAAACCTTGGTTATGTTTAATTTTAATGACATATGTATTAACATTTAGCATTGGAGTGCTACAACACATACAGACCATTTCTGAGTACATGCAATTTAAAATCCTTTACTTTCTTTTTTGAGTCAGGATCTCACTGTTCCAGGCTGGCCTGGAATTTTGCAATCCTGCTTCAGCCTTCTGAGTGTTGGGATTACAGGCCTGTGCCACCACGCCTGGCTAAAATCCTTTACTTTTCATTGAAGTAGACCTCTATCTGTTCTATACTTAGGGAAATTAAGAATATTAACTAGACTATAAATCTTTAACTGTGTATATATTATTTAGCTAACTTTGCATGATGATATGTCTTAAAACTTGGAAATTGTGTTGTAGGGAATCCCTGGAGATAGAGAAAGTCAGGCTGTGGTTGACCCTCCACAAGCAACTAGTACTGGGACGCCTCAGTCCTCTGCGGTGGCTGCAGCTGCAGCAACTACAACAGCAGCTACTACAACAACAAGTTCTGGAGGTAAAGTAGTATTTTTTGGGTGGGTAGGAACTTTCAGATAACAGAACTCCTGGATTCGGTAATGCTAAAGAAGAGCTCAAAAGAAATGTTCCCAAGTGAATATAAAAGGTGTCCTTGCTTATATTAAACATTAGTGCTTCAGTTTTGCCTAACAGCATATTCTTTTTTGAATATTATAATATATTCTAAAGTGTCTAAAAGATACTTTTCCATTTTGGTTATGTTAAATATGTACGGTTTCAAAGCCAGAAAGATCATAGTAGTTAGTGTACAACGAGGGAAATTAACCCTGAGGGATTTAAAATCCTGTGTCCACAGAGGAAAAAAAAAAAAGCTAGAATTCAGATCTCCTTGGTGGTCAGTGCTGAAGAGTTCCATTGCCAGGCTGGGGATTGTTCAGTGGTTCTGCCACCTGAGTTCAGTCCCCTGTACCACAACAAACCAAAAACAAACAAAAAGAAAAACCAGTTCCATTGCCATGAATTTCACTGCAGAGAAAAGCCTAGAACCTGTAATGAGCCCAGGAATCATTTTCCTTCATTCTTTTAAGTGTACTAATAAAGTAATTTAAACTGTAAAGTTTTGAAGAGGTCATTCTTTACTGTGTTTCCTACCATTCGTTAAAACAGCCAGCTCTGGTTGATGAAAATCCCTAAGTACTTTGTTAGTATCCCAAAGGATAAGTTGCCTTTTGTTTGTTGGGGTCCTACATGGTAGTGGAAGGAGGAAGTCCCTGTTCTGGTTCAGATTTGGAGTGTTGTCTCATTCAGTCCTTCATCTGTGAGTCTCATTTTCTTTATTCTTAAGACTAAGGATACATAGGAATAAACACCCATGTTTTGTGATTATTTTAACTGGAAGGATTGTTTTCTCAAATAATTAAGAACATGATAACATTTAAGAATTGTCATTACTTTGCAAATTAACACATTAACAACAGGACTATAATTGGTATGTCTTACTGTCAGGCAACTCTGATTTGGTACATGCATGGGATAGTGGTTCAGTCTGTATTAAATACAACTACATTGAGATGCCATCTTAAAAGAATGGCTGTCATCAAAAAATCTAATTACATGGCAGGGATGTGGGGGAAAGGAACTCTTTTACATCGTTGATGGGAATGTAAACTAAAAACAACTGCTATGAAAATCAGTGTGGAGATACCTCAAAGAACTAAAAATATGCCAGGTATGGCACACACCTGTAATACCAGCATTCAGGAGGCTGAGGTAGGATGATTGCCATAATTTTGAGGCTAGCCTGAACTACATCGTGAGACCCTGTCTTAATAAACAACAACAGAAAACCCTAAAAATTCCATTTGACCCAGCTATTGCCCTTTAGGTATCTTTGCAAATGAGTTAAAATCATATTAACAGTGATACATACCCATGCTTATAGCAGCACAGTTTATAATAGCTAGATCTTTGAAACAGCATGAATGTCCATCAGCAGACAAATGGTTAAGGAGATGTGGTGCTTATAGATGATGGAGCACTGCTCTGCCACAAAGATCAATTTGAAGTGTTCATAGGTTAAGTGGGTGTAACCTGAAAACACTGTTAAGTGAAGTGAGTCAGGCACACAAGCTTTTGTATGTATGTGTACACACACACACACACACACACAAAGAGAACAAAATAGAAGATAAGTAGGGAAAAGTTCAAGTAATACCACAAATTACCTAGTCTTGTTTCAGAAATAATACGCTAGTTTTATTTGTATTTCTAGTTTCATAGTTTATTGAAAAGAAAGTTTTGTGCTATTATCTGTTTCTTCTAAGAATCATTTTTGTCTGTCTTATACTCTGAATAACCACTTTGAAGATAATGTATAGTAACCTGTTATTCACCTCTGTTATGAAATTTCATTATTTCATGAAATTTTAAAATATTCTTTTGAGGAAAGAATTGTCCTTACTCATTTTTCTCAAAAATAAAATCATCTTTATATGTTTCATTTGTAACCAAGACAAGCTGCCAGCATCCCAAAAACATCACATTTGTTGTTTTCATTTAAGTAAAGGGATTTAGACTAAAAAGTTGGGTGTACTAATACTGGATTGTCTTGCAGCTTATATTAAGTGTTTATGACTGTAAATGTTTGGAGTTTAATGTTAATAACCAGAATCTTTTTCCAGTGGCTATTAAGCTTGTATTAAAAGTCCACCTGATCTCTTAACTTTTAAGTAGGAAGTATTTTTCTCTCACTTTGGATTAGCATTTTTTTTCCCAAGAACTCAAGATCAGGTTGCGTTCTTTGAGGATTTTTGGTTGTATAGTCGTGTGCACATAGCAGTGTTTTCATTAACAACTGTGATCCCATAAGATTGTGTTGCCTACTTATGCCACGCCCATCGTAGTTTGTATAAGTACAGCATGTGATGTTTACACAGTGACAGAATCACCTAACCACATGTTTCTCAGAATTTATTCCATCTTTAAGTGCTACATTACCCTATTATAAAGTAACTGGGGGTATTGCTTCTATTTATTTTGCTATATAACTTTCATAGGAACTTGTGAGCAGCTGGAACCACTGTTAATACTTTCTATTTTGATAGAACACATGAAGGCCCAATTAGTATTTCGGGGTAGTAGTACTTAGGGCATTTGTAGGAAAGCTTGGTCCTTACAATGTTCTCCATGCTTCGCTTTTATTAGTAGGAATGATTTTTGCAGTGTAAGATTTTTATGTTGACTAAGAAAGACATGTATCATATGTTTTCTCTAATATGTGCAATGCAGAAAAGAGGCAAATATAGAAGGGAAACTGTTGGGGAAGAGCAAGGAGATGGGGAGGGAGTAGAAGGGATGGTAATGGTGTAAAAAGTATTTATGCGTACATGGATGTGCCTAGTCTTCTGGGAAATTAATATGCCCTAATAAGAATTTATATAAATTGGAGGAAAAGATTTGCATATTGGTATAGTTTGAAGATTTTTGTCATTTAATTTGCTTGATTATGTCTGAGAACTCAATTCATTTTTTTTCCACTGGATTTGCCATCTCATTGTATAAGTTAGCCAGCTCTTAGTTATATATATTGGTTTTGTTTAAAAATGTTTATGTGTATTTCAGGACATCCTCTTGAGTTTTTACGGAATCAGCCTCAGTTTCAACAGATGAGACAAATTATCCAACAGAATCCTTCCCTGCTTCCAGCATTGCTACAACAGATAGGTCGAGAGAATCCTCAATTACTGCAGGTGATAACTTAATGTTAATTTTGAAAGTGGGATTAGAATGTCATGTATCACATTTTGAAAAGTTCATGAACATCCCTTTCTTTCTTATGTACTCTTTGCAAATGGCTAGACTGTACTCTGAGCTACACCAAGTAGAATACTATGTTTCAGAAGGTATGCTGCAAAGAGTTGCCATATAAAGATTAATTTAAGTTGGTCAAACATTAAGTTTGGGAATCATATTATATTTCCTTTTTGCAGATTCCCGGTGCATGTAGGCATACTGAGGAATCTGAGAAGCTGTTTTGTAAATAAATCACTTTTCATAAATTTATTACCAGTGGGACACTGCCTCTTAAAAAATATAGTTCTTGAGCTGGGTATGGTGGTGCATGGCTGTCTGTAATCCAAGCACTCAGGAAACTGAGTATTACCAAGAGTTCAAGGCCAGCCTAAAGTAGGTAGTGACACTCTCTCAACACCCCCCGCAAAAAAGCACATTACATAAGCTGAGGGCTTATGTAATGCTCAGATCAGGAAGTATTTGAGTTTTGTACGACATTGTACCACCTACTAGTAAACCTATGTATATATCAAGAATAAATTGCTGGACATGTTAGCACATGCCTGCAATCTCAGCACTTTGGAGGCTGAGGCCAGCCTGGACTATATATATATATATATATACATAGCAAGACCCTGTCTCAAAAAAACAAAAAAGAGTAAGTGTCTCAGCTTGCAGTCCCAAAGTAGTTTTTAAACGTTTTTGTTTGTTTGTTGTTTGTTTGTTTGTTTTTTGGTGCCGGGCATTGAACTCAGGACCTTGCACTTGTGAGGGTGAGGCAGGCACGGTACCACTGAGCTAAATCCCTGGCCCTAAACATTGATTTTTATGAGGGGGACATTCGTGAAAGAATTTGAATTCACTTTACTGTTTACCTCGCTCAAAAATAATGAGTTTCTTCTGAAAAAAATGGAAATAAAGTGTTTGTAAATGGGGAGGGGAGGAGCGGGTGAAGGGAGGGCAGGGACAAGGGGAAAAATGAGAATCAAGACCTATTATGTAAAGGTGCAGAATCCCAATGATGAATGTAATTGTATTGTATACCTAGATTGTACCAATAACCTCAATAAAAAGAAAAAAAAATGAGTTTCTTTAATAGTATGCAATAAATAGCTCTGAAATATTACCAGTGCAGAGTTACTGCCTTTTATTTGTATTTAAAGTTGCTGTTTTCCTTAAGATGCTTAATGTCATTGTATTGTCTCTGTCCTTCACATTCCCACAGCAAATTAGCCAACACCAGGAGCATTTTATTCAGATGTTAAATGAACCAGTTCAGGAAGCTGGTGGTCAAGGAGGAAGTGGCGGAGGTGGCAGTGGAGGAATCGCTGAAGCTGGAAGTGGGCACATGAACTACATCCAAGTAACACCTCAGGAAAAAGAAGCTATAGAAAGGGTAAGTTTAAGTAAAACTGAAAATGCATTTCCTTAGTCCCTCTAGCAGTATTTCACACGCTCAGTGGTCACATCGCTTAGCTGCTCCCCTGGGATTCACTGGAGAGAGCTCTGTTGCACACAGCCAAATAGAGCCCTGCCCTCAGGATTGCAGTCAGGACAGTCTTAGCCCGGCACTGCCTCCTTGCCCTTTGCAAAGACACTAGGCTAGCAGGTCTTGCATGGGACAGGTATACAAATATTTAAAAAATAAAATTTTCATTAATGTTTTATAATTCACAGAAAATGATTGAAGTATATACCCAATTCTAAACTGTTCAATTCTTACATTTCAAATTTTACTTCCCTGTTGTCACTAAAATATAAAATAAGAATATTTATGAATCATGTAAAAATTATAAAATGTACACATTAGATTTCAGCTATCCTGGTTGTCCATTTTTACTAGGTTGGCCAGCATACATCGTGGCACTGTAGTAACCTAGTTTTTAATGACACTGTCATTAGTTATTTAATTTCTCCCTCATTTTTAACATGGGTAAACAAGTTATAGAATGTATAATCTCCCCTTACTAAGTGTTCCACAATTTAGGTCTGTTAGGCTTACAGTGTTGAATTTCTTTATTGGTCATCTGTGTAATTTTGTCTGCTTTTGAAAGTGGTTGTGTTGAAATCTCCCAACTCTTATCATTGAATTGGCAATTTCTCCTTGTGATGCTATCAGTTTTTGTTGCTTGTATTTAAAGGTTCTCTATACATGTTTAGAATTACTTGTTTCTTCCTGGCTTTTGCAGGGAGCAGTCAGAAAATACTTTTTGTCACTAGTAATTTTTAAATCTATTTTGTCTAATATAACTACTCTAGCTTGCTTCTGGTTATTGCTTGTGTGTTGTATATCTTCCATTATTTTGAACATATTTGTGTCTTTGAATCTTACATGTATCTGTAGTTCAATTTTGCCCTCTAGTTTAGCAATTAATTTTGTGTTTCAGTTGTCCTAGCTTTGATTTGGACAAGACTTAAACTCATTTTTTAGTTCTTTCATGGGTGAATATTTACTTTGCTGAACTGGAATTTTGCCTGGTTAAGTTATTTTTAAGCCTTGATACAAGATGATTGAGACATTTGAAGAGGGTGTTCATGAATAACATTTGGTTGACAAATAATAGTAGTACTTACTGAGTTAGGAAATTGACTTGAGTGTTTAAAGGCCTTTAAAAGGACTGGGCATGGTGGTGCCTACCATAATCCCACTGTTCAGAAGGCTGGCAGGCAGGAGCATCACCAAGAGTTTGAGACTAGCCTGAATGACAAAGGAAGACCTTGATTCACAAAACCAAAAAATAAAAGCAAGTGAATATTGAGCCACAGGTGATTTCCAGTAGATTAGGAAAATGAAATTAAGTAGCTGGTATCACCATTTAAAATGCTCTACATGTAGAACAGACAAAAATAAAATAGCATGTCTTGATTTCAAAATACAGCATGTGATTGCCCTAATAATCAATCGTCTGTGTTTCCAATATGCAGTGTTGAATAAGGCATAGAGATTGAGAATAATACTTGTTGATCCATGTGACAGACAAGGTTACTTTAACAAAGAAAATAGATAATTCTGTGCGGTGAACACTTTCCAGTGCTTTCATCCTTATCTTTGCCCTTAAAAACTGAAATCTTTTGATTTACAAAATTCTGTATTTCTGTAGGATCATCCCCCAATCAAACTCAGGACCTTGTGCTTGCAAGGCAGGTGCAGTTGCACCACTTAGCTAAATCCCTAGCCCGGGGTTACTTATTTTTAAACCAGGACGGTTAGCTACTCGTAAAAATGCCATGGCTGGTGTGTTGAACTTACTTTTTCTTTCTTTTCTTCCAGTTAAAGGCATTAGGATTTCCTGAAGGACTTGTGATACAAGCATATTTTGCTTGTGAGAAGAATGAGAATTTGGCTGCCAATTTTCTTCTACAGCAGAACTTTGATGAAGATTGAAAGGGACTTTTTTGTATCTCACACTTCACACCAGTGCATTACACTAACTTTGTTCACTGGATTGTCTGGGATGACTTGGGTTCATATCCACAGTACTTGGTATACGATAGATTGTTGGGGTGGGGTGGGAGGGATCTAGGATACAGGGCAGGGATAAATTACAGTGCATGTCTGCTTCGATTAGCAGATGCCGCAAATCCATACAGTGTGTAAAATATACAACCAAAAATCGGCTTTTGCAGGTCTTTATTTCTTCTATAAAACAGTAGGTGACTTTTCCTAGGTTTCACTCCTTTTAGTGTACTAGATCCAGAAATTTAGTGTAATGCCCTGCTTTATATTTCTTGACCTAACATTGGTTTCCAAACAAATCCTTGCTACCTAGAATTTATAGTCTCTGTTTCATGGCAACACTGGATAACGGCTTTTTGAAACTGAAAAGAATTTTGGAGCAACTGTAAACAGACATGCCAAATTATCAATGGTCATTGTTGCTGCTTCACATAAGTATAAAATTAATGTGTAAGGAAGCCCATTCTTTGACGTTAAATACTTGGGGTGTGGGAAGGGAGAAGGCGAACTTTTTCTTAAATCAGAAATTATACTACTATTTTAAAATTTCTTGATCATTGAATGCGAGACCCTTCTAACATGATTTGGGAAGCTGTACAAGTATAGGCAGAGTTATTTTCTTGTTTACATTTTTTGTTTTGGGGGGAAAATTAGTAGGTGTCTAATAACTGTTTGCTTCATTGTTATCTTGCAGTAAAAGATTTAAAACAACCATTGCATGTTTGCTTTTGATGTATCCTGTTGTGAAGTTAGCACTTTTGGGGCCAATGGAGAAATGCAGCATTTGTTCTCTCTTCCTCTCTTCCCTCTGTCCTCAGCAGAAATGTATTTAACAGCAAGTTAGTCAAGCTGCTGCCTTTAGAACAAAAAACAAAAGCAAAAACGCAGAATGCTGATTTGATTCAAAATTAATCCAAATGTTTCAAAACTGGGTTTCTGATACTTGTAAATTTTTTCCTTCATTAGATAAGAATGTATTGCCACTTAAGTCATTAGTATTATATTAACTTTCAAAAAGACGTAAATAGAACTATAAGCCAGCATCTTTTACTGCATTGAAAAATTGATACATTCTCCTGGAAGGGTTGGGAGATGTGGCTGGGAAAAAGTACTTTGGAAAATACACAATCAAGATATCTCATGGCATATTAAAAGAAAACTCTTTAATAGCGGTGTTGGCTTTTATTTGGATTTTTTTTCCATCAGTTTTTCTTTGGAGTCTCCATTGTTATTGTCATTTGATCATAAAGAGAGGGCAAATATCTGCTTGTTCAGTTTATCAAATCTATTTTCCTAAATATAAACAAGACTATTTAAAGAAATGATATTTTTTCTTAACCATCTGATACTAAGAAGATGAATTTGCACAGATTTCTCCCTGCATAACCTCTTGCAATATCCTTAGTTCCGTGGTGACTCTTAAGCTTTTACATCACACTCATAACTTGTCTCTTGTGAAAATAAATGAAACCATGATTTTTCTTCACAATGTACCACGTCTGATTTTCATGTGTTTATTCCATAAACATGATTGGCTTTTGGACTTTGTATTACCTGTATGTTTTACAATGAATCGTGCATATATCTCAGGAGAATAAAATGGGGATTTGTAAATCTTTCAAGGCAGAGCAATGAGTTCGGAAGATGGGTAACACTCTGGCCAGATAATGTAATACTCTCATTTATTTTATGGCAATCTGCTACATTATTGCTCGTAACAATAAAGAACTAGCAGCAGGGAATAACAGCAGCCACTTCTTTTCTCTGGAAAGGGACAGCAGAAGTTGGTGACATGGAACTGTTGTCCTTGAACAACAAAGCTACCGGATAGTATGATTACTAATTATCAGAAGACTGCTCAGGCCAAGTTTTGACCATTCTTTATATTACCTTGTTTATCTGCTGCTTGTTTATCAGCCAGCACACCATAAATTAAATGGGCTTTTTGTGCCTTTTGCTGTTACTGTTTAATTTATAAATAGTTTTGGTAAATCTCTTAATGTTAAGTGGCTATTTGACTTTGGAATTTCGTGTTTAAGGTCTACTGTCATCGATTTTTAAAATATTTTTATTGTTAGCTGTACTGTGGAAAATGCGAGGAAACCTGAGTTTATATTTGTAAAAGTCTTTGCCATCCTCTAGTCAAATATTTCTTTTCATTGTTTAAAAATAACAAGTGTTCCACCTTATAATTTTTTCCTGTACCAGATGACTAAGATTCTAGAGAATTGACTATAAAATATTTTCAATACATCCAATATTGCATTTCTCATTTTTTAAGTGATTCTCTCATAGAATCTTAGGTTGAGGAGCCAGGGATTTAGCTCAGTTGCACTGCGCCTGCCTCGCAAGTACAAGGTCCTGAGTTCAATCTCCGGTACCAGAAAAAAAAAAAATCTTCGCTTGAAAGTTGACAAAATGTTTCTGTCACCTATTCATTATTGATGAGTAATTGCGTATAGGAGGCCGGGCACTATCTTGACTTTACTGTGTCTCCTTGTTCTTTTCTCGGCCAGCACATCAACACAGGCGATACTGAGATGATAGAAGTCAGGGTGTATGAAGGCTGTTGACTGCACATCTTGTCTTATAGCAGCCTGCCAAAGGCTGCTATAAAATATATAACCAAAAAATAAACAATTTGAAAGAAGTTCTTCATGACCGGCTCTGTTCTGGCCTCTGTCTCCAGGCCATAAGGTGTGGGTGTATCTGGCTGCAGGTGTGCGGTCCACTTTCTACTTTATTTTACTATTCCAGAGGCTGGTAGACTTAGCTCATGAACCATACCTGGGCCCTTTGTAAAGTCCATGAGCTAAATGGTTTTAAAATACATTTCTTACTGAAACAGCAACACATAACGTCTTGTCCGTAGCTGCTTTGTGCTACAAAGGTTTGCTGTTGAGTGTGTACAACACATTGTGTGACCTACAAAGTGTAATTACCAACCAGCCCTTTTCTGTAAAGGGCCACCCTGTTCTGAACTGACCAGGCCATCATGTGTTAAATTATATGCTTTGTATTCCTTGGCATTCTGATTCCTGACTTCATTTTTAGTTTGACTTTGGTCTCCATGTTACTGATAAAATCTCTTTGTAAAGAAACAGCAGCATCCCCAGTGTCTGGATGTGCCAGCCTCCTAGTATCTAAGTGAATACTTGAATTTACTCTTAGCTGTTGCTGTTTCTTATTCTTAGAGTAAGAGTATGAAATCTAGCACTAAACACACTGTAAACAGCATCCTGGCATACTGACTTAAAAAAAAAGACGGATGCATCTGGGAACTTGAAGGTCCTGGGATCAGCCGCAGTGAAAGGATGGAATAGGTGACCCCTAGAGGGAGGAGTCTAGCAGGCAGACCTGGGCGATGGGGGAGTTTCCAGGGTGGGAGGGTGGCAGGGCAGTGACAAGGCAGGGAATGAAGGCTTGGACTTGATAAGAGAAAGACTGGGAGTGAAGGATGATAAATTGGTTGGTTGCAAAGAGCCTTCTCTGTCAAGATGCAGAGTTTGAAGGACTATTCTAAGACTATTCACTGGGGAGATGGGGCTGAGAGGACCAAAAGAACCTGTTTCACTCATGTGGTCTGTGTGACAGGCCATTTTAACAAGTATCACCTAGCTGGGGATATGTATATATCTTCTGCCTTATGTATCAACCTAGTTTTCCATTCTTGCTACCTTCGTTATCGGCCTTCCTCCAATAGCTTCCCAGCTGTGTGTAGAAGGTTCTCCCCACTCCAGGACTCTCACAGTATGCTTTCTGCTATAACCTGTGTACACCCTGTATACTTTGTCATCTCTGGGTTACAGTGCCTAACAAAATGTCAATGTTATGTAAACGGTTGTTAGCGCTCTTAGTGAAATGAATCCGCATGCACTGTTTCCAGAATATTTTTGATCTGCAGTTGATTGCACACCTACTGGAAATAACCTAACACCTAAAGTCTAGAACAGATTCCCCGTGCCGGAGGAGCACCTTGGGATCCCCATAGTAGAGACAAATGCCTATGCCTGTGGGCATGTGAAGGTAGAGCAGAGGATTGTCAGGGTGGGAAAGCAAGGGGCTGATGGTCCAGGTGGCTGAGACTACCTCCGAGGAGACAAAAGTCTTCTAGGTGGTAAGAAGCAAACACACAAAAGTCAAGAATAGACACTCATCAGATGTGACACACCTGTAACCCCAGCTTTCTGAGAGGGTGAGGCAGAAGGATCATAAGATAGACACTAGACCACATTTGCCAGCAGGTTTCACACAACTTCAGAATTGTAGAGTGAGCCTCAGGAATAAGGACCAGAGTCTGACTACAGGCCCACTTGGCCTCTACAGATCCACTTGGTTTCCTCTGTTTTGGCCTAGAATAGGAGGATGCACAGCAGGTCCCCAGCTGCCTCCCTGCCTGTATGACAGAAACTGATTTGTCTTTTCTCCACCTGAGCTATGCTACTATCAAAATGAAGGGCAAGAGGAAGGAAGGAGGTCTGGAAGTTAAAGTAATATGGAGATGAAATTAAATAGAGGTCCAAAGATGCGATATCCCTCTTTAGCCCCTCCACGAGGGCACTCAGTGGGTGACATCTAAGGTGAATAAGAGGAGTTGACAAAAGTACTTCGTTGGCAGAGCCACAGCATGAAGACAGCACATGTCCACACATACCAGCCTGCCCATCGGTCTGAGCCAGTAGGTTCCTGGAAGTCCCTGTGTATCTCCTGCTCTGGCAAGGTACCAACCCCACAGGTAGTTCTTGACTGCTGGCGCTCCCAGACCCACACAATAATTCTGGCTGATGGCCAGTACTGTGTGCACTGACTTCAGTCTGCAATGGCAGTAGAAACACTTGTCACTGATGACATCATGGCCATCATACACATGAAGCCCAGCAAATCACTGGTCGTGAAAGAGCAGAGCTTGAGGATACTCTGGTTATCCTTAAGGATGACTTGTGAATGTCCATGGGTTGGGCCAGAGCCAAGAAGAGAGTCTAGGCAGTACAGAAAAGGCAGCACACATCTGATGTAAAAGTGCTTAACATGTAAACAGTAGGGGTGACATCTCATGATGTGACACTATTGTAAAAACCACCAACAAAACAAGGTTATGGGGGAGGAAAAAGCACGATCATAAGTGCCTTATTCTTGTAGCTAAAAGTCCAAAGGGCCTCAGTACACAGAAGCTGACATGAAGAAAAGGTAGACAGCTAACCATGTGTAGAGAGCCAGGAAGAGGGCCAGAGGAGGTAGTCAGGAGACATGCAGATCAGTGGAGGCCGGCTGCTTTTCTGGGGCTGGCCTGGTCTTGCCTTTCCACAGGGCCTTTCACTCATCAGGTAGTGCTGCAGGGGATGGGGCCATAATTCTTGTTGATTATCGACGATCTTGTCAGCATCCATAGAGCTGTGGTTTGAAAACCCACCCAAGGAAGCTACAGTTGTTTCTAGGTTCCCCTGACTTAGGGACTGGAGCTCGTGAGCTGGGAACCACTGGACTGGAGTAGGAGAAACCACCTGGCTGACCGGAAGGACCACATCCCTAGTCCTTAAGGAGCACTTATTTTGGAAATGGGGTTATGTCCAAAGTAGAACTTGGTTTTATAGCCCAACTTGGCAAGGCCAAGCTTTCCAAGCTGTTCCAGTATCTCCGTACCTCTCTATCTTGGTTGTTGAGAGAGGGTGATGGTGGCTGGGGGAATTTTTAGAAAGCTTGCTCCAGAAGCC